GAAATGTGTGCGGAGCTGGTGGCACCAAAACACTACTTGGTTTTCTGAGAGGCTCCATTTGATTACCATCATAAAACATAATAGTGGCATAAAATGCAGTTGCGTCTTTCCAATTTGCTACTTCTCCAACACATTCTAACTATAGCTGTACAGCATGGCAGTCACCAGTTGCATTTGTCAGCCTTGGAAATGTCATTCTGCTGTCATCACTCAGTGAATGAAGAAAAGAAGGATTAGTCCATAAAATGCCGCCAGCACACCGACAAGTTCTTTTTGTGTTCAGTGAAATAAAGCCAGATTAATTTTTATCAGAACTGAAATGGCATCTCATGTGTTGCTTGTTCTGTATTCCATTATCCATTGCTAATAAATAAGGAGATGAATTTATTGTCTTCTTATAATGAGTTTTGGGTAATATTTTTTAAAAATGGGCTAACTGTGATCTGGAGTTAGAGAACAAAAGGCACACATACAGTCACATCTAAATTTCATTGTAATGATTCAGTCAATGTATAACCTCATTATCGAATCACTGCTCTTTGCACACAGATTGATACCGTTATGCACTTTGCCTTACAAGGGTCAACTGAGGCATTGGGCAATAGTGCCTTTTGCATGGTGGCTCAGCTCCTCACCTCTGGAGAGTACAAATACACACATATCACGTTCGACATACTGGTGCTTTGCTCAACAGTTCTCTTATCACCGTGATCTTTGCTGGATAACCAAACTATTCATATTACGGTAAGTAGAAAGGCTTTGGTTTAATCTGTAAATGTTCTTACAGAGAACACTGAATGTTCATGACATTTACTAATTGAATTAGTAGAAAAATAGTGCTCATAATACTGCTGCAGTTTGTAAGTCACATTTAAGCTTGCTTTATTGAACTAAATTGAATTCTAATTCTAATTCTAAATGGTGTATGTGAAGGAGTGATCAGACTCAATAAACTGTTTAAATGCAGCACTATGCATACATTTAAACATATTAACCCTTTTATGTGGGGGACTGACTTTCAATACAAATAGTATTCTGTTGTTAAAAAGTAAAAAAAAAAAAAAAAGTAAAATTTGCTATAATAAAGTGAAAGCATACCATGTTTTTAGCAGCAATTTAAAAAAATATAGATTTTATTTTTTATTTCTTGGAATGTTCTTTTTAAAGGTAGGAAAATGTTCTCTAAAACATCTTAAATATTTATTAACAACCGTTTTACAATGCCTAGCAATAACATTGTTAAATGGATTTAAAGTTAATTTTCTCTTTATTTTTTGACATTTTTTGGCCTTTTTTGGGTTGGGGCTTCTACTACACTTGAATTTGAATGAGACCAGGAATACACACTGGGCATATAGTCTACCCACAGAGATAACACAGAGAGACAGATAAACATTCACACTCACATTCCCACCTACAGCCAATCTAGATTTTCAAAATAAGCCCTTTGCTGTACCTAGAGAACCTATGGAAGCACAGCTAGAATTTTTCAAACTTTTTTTAAAAAAAGATTAGGACATTATAATCTGTTTTTCTGTTTGAAAACTTAATTCGAACTTGCAGATAGTGTTTGCAAATTGTGTGAGAACGTCCCTGGCTAGCTATCTTTATTTTTAGGTTGGTATGGTAACATATCATTACATTTGCACTCTGATTTTACAAATGACCTTCTTTATGCCAGTAAGTTGATTTTGAATTTCAGATGAGGGTCCTCTGCTGCTGCACTGCTTTCCTGCTGCTCATCCTAATTCCCAAAGCCTGTGAAGGAGGCAACATCTTGGTCTATCCTTCTGAAGGCAGCCACTGGATAAACATGGAAATTCTACTAAAGGCTTTGCACTCTAGAGGACACAATATCACCATTCTGCGTTCTAGTAAAAGCTGGTACATAAAAGATAACTCATCTTATTACAGTGCCTTTACAGTTCCAGTGGAAAACACCTTGGATCAGACATTCATCACAAGGATTGTGGCTGAGATCATAGAATTTGAACGAGGAGCCCTCCCCTTGATTAGTTTTCTCCACATGAGTGTGGGGATGTTTGGCACATTTCTTGATGCCCACAAAGGCGTAGGTGCAGTAGTAACAGCAATGATGGATGACAGTGACTTGATGAGAAAATTGAAAGACAGCAAGTTTGACCTGCTACTCGCTGACCCCTGCTGGGGTGGTGGAGTCATTCTGGCCAAATACTTGAACCTTCCTTTGGTTTATAATGTTCGCTGGCTTATAGCTGCAGAGGCTCATTTTTCCATAGCTCCTTCACCATTGTCTTATATTCCTATAACAGGAACAGGGAATACTGACAAGATGACCTTTTTGCAGAGAGTTACAAACATGCTTTTGCACATTATAACCCAAATACAAAATGACCTCTTAGTTAGACTAGTATACCAGAAATTAACTGACAAATATCTTGGGCCTGGTTATGATTTTAATGAGTTAATGATCGATGCAGACATTTGGCTGATGAGAGTGGACTTTGTGTTTGAGTACCCACG